TCCTCATTTAATTTCTGCCTTCAGTTCTTTCTTTTCAAAACCACTAAAACACATCACATTTTTTAAAAAGAAACATTTTTTTTTGCTCCTTCCTTTCCACTGTTTATATATATATTTCTGTTTCTCAACTGTATTAGGAGCCTCAGAGGCCATGAAAATGTCTTCTGCTCTCTTTATAACTGCCAGCCTGCATTTCATAGGTGCAAAATAGACTTCACTTGTCCTTCCCCTTTATGGTTAATCACATATATGCAGGCTTTAATAGGAAGCAATAGGCATTGGGGTTTTACAGACAAGAAGCACTGCTATTATTGCAAACGTCCTCTTCCAACTTGTTTACATTAAATTCTTTGCATACTTGCTTGTTGCTCTAGTTAGAAAGTCCCAGAACACGGTGTATTTCCCACCTCATCCCACCTTTCCCAACATCTTTCACAGAAGCCAAGGAAGGAGCTAGGTTTCCATGGTAACACAAGTGTGACAGTTGAGGCTATCTGGGCATAGGTGAGATAACTCTCAGATTTAGTGTGGAGAAATGAAGTTTTCCTTTTTTTTTTTTTCTCTCCCAGCAATGTCCTTCTGAAGCTAAAGAGACCCTAAAGTGTCAGTATACAGTGTTTTCACTATCATACAGATTTATAGCTCTTGGAGAAAATTCAATTTCATTGTATCTCATTTCTATTTTGTCTTTCCCACAAACAAATGAATGGAGACATAAGTTTTTATTTCCAAAATCACTGTCAGAATAGATAGTTCATGCTGGCATAAAAATGAACACGATTAAGGAATCAGGAGACAAATACCCATCTCCAAACCAGATCTTCAAAATTCTCTACACGTTCTGACATCCTTTCCTATGGCAGCTAATCCTTCAGCCAGTATTTCACATACAGCTTCAAATTAGGTAAGTACCACCACATATAAGGCAGAATAGAAAAGGAAATATGCCCTACTTATCATGTTTCTTTTGCCTCTTAGTGATCAAAAACCCACCTTTAAGGCAACATTGAGAATAAATATCGAGAATGAATATCAAATGAATATGAATTCATCAAGAATGAATATCGAACATCAACGTGAGAAATATAAATGAGGCTGCATTCTGTATACCTCTCCTTATCAAGAAAAGTCAGCAGTAATGAAAGGTCAGGGAAAACAGCCTGAAAAATGTCAAAAAGCTCTCCTATTCTTTATTATGCTAAGTGGAGTGGCTAGAGAGCCCACTCACTATTTTTTGTGTGTGACAACTCCTATCAGATGCACAACAGTCTAGAGCTTCTCAACTTCTCGCGACCTGGGAAGTGAAAAAACTGCTTAAGATTACATTCTTGATCCACAATCCCAATGGAAATTTCTAAAAAAAATAATACAAAGGAAGGAAGGAAGGAAGGAAGGAAGGAAGAGAGAGAGAGAGAGAGAGAGAGAAAGGAAGGAAGGAAGGAAGGAAGAAGGAAAAGAAGAAGAAGGATGAAGGAAGGAAGAAAAAGAAAGAAAGAAAGAAAGAAAGAAAGAAAGAAAGAAAGAACGAACTGCCACTGGATCTTTTTTTGCTTGCAAAGTAAATGATTTTTCAGTTCCACTGTAATTAAGGTACTACACGGGTTGTAATGCTCTATACAAAGAAAGTTTGATGCTTCTTGGCTCCATTTAACCCTCAAAAAGCCTAGGAACTTATCACCATGATTCACAATTTGGATCTTAAAGAGACAGTCTGTCTTTGCTCTTAAAAGAAGTGTGGCTGTTACTAAGCTAAAGTAATCTCAAATAAGCATACATGTTTCACACAAAACATGAGACTTGTAAAAAGCTAGGTGCACACTGCATTTATAAACATCTTCTTGAAATATCCCTGCCAAAAAGCTCAGATATAATGCATCCATGTGAGCTCCTTTCATTTTAATTCACTTTTCCACACTACTAGTTTAGAATTCTCTTTAGTTTCGATGCTCTTAAAACGTTCCTCTGATTCTTAGTTCTTTTGCAGTTTGCTTTATCTGCAGATTCCATAGGCTCGGATATTACCTCTCATACTTTGACGATATTTAATCAAGAAATAAAGGCTGAGTTATATTTACTACACTTTTTGACAGGACACTTGCCCTCAATTATTTTAAGCCAAAACTTGGTATATGTTATTCTATAGCAAGATAATGCAAACTTAAGTTCTTCATTCTAATATAATGGACGGACAGGGCAATAGAACACTGTTAAATCTGAGTACACTTTTGTAGTAGTTTGATAATTGGCAGAAAAGACGGTAAAGAAACACCTGGTTTTTCGAGAAACTCAGACCAAAATCCTTTCTACATGATGACCTTGTAGGGAAGGGAAAGGGCGAAGAGGTATGCCACGACTAAACGTAAGAACTGCAGAAATTTATTATTCCCGAGAAATGTGATTTAGCAACTTATGGACGTAGACTAGTCTGAGAAGGACATAGTTTAAATCAAGTAAATCCAATAACCCATTATTACAAAATACAATCCAGGAGTACTTGGGAATATAACTTCTCCTAAATTTAACATTATGGACGTGAGACACTGTAACATACAAGGCTACAAAGACCTAACGGTAAGTTTTAAAACTAAGTAGTTAAAAAAAAAAAAAATGTTTCAGGAGGCACGCATGGAAGATCCGTGCCAACTGCTGCAGTACGTCTCCTTAAGTACCAGGAAATTTCTCACCCTAAAGACAAAAGTCCCTGTTTTCTCTATTCATCCCACGATTCAGCCCACATCGCTCAGCACCATTTCCAAGCCCATCACTTAGGCAGAATGCCAAGCAGACGACGTTAAACGTCTGAATTCATCACTCTCGCCTGCAACACACCTTGCTCCTTGCCAGCACAGGGCACAGCGACCGGTCCCTCATCCTCCGACCCCTCCCGGATCCCACCAGTGGCCCCGTCTCCATACAACCGGCTCTAGGTGGCAAGGGAATCGCGAATCCTGGTTGGCTCAGATCGAGCCTCCGTCATTCGTCAGCTCACCTACGATTGGTTGGCAGAGAGTGCTCAGGAACAAACGCCCAGCTTGGCCAGGCGAGGGGAGGTGAGTTGGTTGATCCTGCGACTAGAGTTTTCCTCATTGGCTGACGGGTGGGCATCACGTGGTATGAAGCGGCTCTCTATTGGCCGAGAATGGTACCATGGGGTACAGAAACGTGATCTGGTTGGTTGGAATGAATCCAGCTTCCTACTAGGTGCCCCAGCTAGCTGTTGCTATGAGGTGGCCCTGGGCCTTCTCTTGCGGCTTGGAGCTCTGTTCTCCCGGTTTTCCAGGCGCCCGTAGCTGAGAGGGCGTGGGAAGAGCTCGACACCAGTCCGGCGCTGGAGAAGGGCGGGGCTGGGGGCGGTGGGCGGGACCCCGGCGACGTAACCGGGCGTGGGCCTGACTTCCGCGGACTCGCCTTTGCCGCCTCGGGCAGTGGCTTTGGGGGCCGTATGTCCTCTCCTTCAGTGTTCTGATGCTTAAAAAAAGGCTCACTCCGTTGTATTTGCGCCCTCTTAAAAAAGCTTCTCTTTATGTTTATACAAGAAAACACCGAAGCCCTCAGCGGTACAGAGAGACTGGGTGGTGTCAAGCAAAATCCCTAATACCTCCTTTTGGTCCTTGCCCGTTTCTTCTTTTCACTCTCAGCCTCACGTTAAAGCCTGCAGACTGCTCTGGCCCCGCTAACATCTTGCCTCCGCCCTAATGCCGAGCGTGGGATTCTCAAGTTGACCAGGTTCCCGGCTCAGGCAGACGAACTGCGCATGCCCAGTACGCAGGCCCTGGGGTTCGACGGGGCGTGCGGGGTAAGGTGTTGGGTGGCAGAGGAGGTTGTTTATCTAAGCGCGAGCCGAGGCTTCCGCACCGCGCAGTCTCCCGGGAGCGCGCGCGGCCGGTCGCCTAGGCGACGGGGAGCAGGGGCGGGGTTGCGCCGCGGAGCCCCGCCTCCTGCCGCCGGGCCCCGCCCCCGGCAGCGCTGCGGCTCCCGCTCGGGCGCGCGCTCCGGCGCCCGAGGAAGCGGCGGCGGCGGCGGG